GGGGAATAACTACATCCAGCTGCCCAGCCACTAAAAACCAGGCCCAGCCAAGTTGACACACAACTTTAACTACTACAGTGGGTAAAACAAGGCAAGCATCATCACTAGGAGGAGCATGATGCCCCAAAGAAGGGTGTCAGGGACCACATGGGATGAGGAGGGTGTCTGCAGGGGAAGGGGTTGCTCCAGAGCAAGTGGTCAGTGCTCAAGGGAGTGAGGAAGGCACCCTCATGGAAAGGCTGCCTGGCATGGAGCGTCAGAGCTTGAGTGGGGTGAAAGGGGATCCTTTCAGGGTAGAGGGTGGTGGCAGCAATAGGAACTTGCAACATATGGGGGCTCGTCCAAGGAAGCAAATATATGAAAATTAGCGAGAACCAGGCTTTTTATGACTGTTGGAGAAGGGAATTACAAATTTGGAAAGAAAGAAGGAAAAACTGGAATTAACCCTGGACGTTGGATTGGCACTGGATCTCTCAAGGTGAACGCATGGTTTTCAATAAAGATAGATGACTACATAAAAAAAATATCGATATAAATGTGTATATAATTCTGTCCACTGAAAGAGTCTAGGAACAGTGACATCCCACTAACAATCAGTACACTTAGCACCCAATCTTGGTTTCTAAATACCATTCTTCATTAAAAGGAACTTGAGCTCTTTGGAGAAATGGCTGATTTCAGGACTAAGGCAGAGAAAGTACAAGGAAAGCCTGGAGTATCTTGTACCAGAGAATTAAGGAGGGTATAAAGACTGTGGGGACATGTCAAAAGGACACAGAAGCCAGCTTGAAGGGGCTATGATAGGCCAAGTCTTGGATAGCTTGAGCACCCAAAAAAATAACAGCAACAGAATCATGAGTCCATGCTGGTGTCATAAGTAAATGGAAGTGTGATGAGGGATGGGACATTTACTGAATCTTGGAGAACCTCCTTAGGAAATATTTAATCTCAAAGAGGAAAAGAGTAGCTTCACGGTGGAGAAGCCTGGCAGAACCAACTTACTCGAGTGACCAAAGTGAACATTATCAGTAATGAGATAACTCAAGGTTGAGTGTCATCTGTTACGAAGCAATGAGAAAAATACAGCATTACTTCCGGAATACTCTTGCCAAAGATGCACAAGCTTGGTGGAATCATAAGGAAACTGAGACAAACCAAACTCAAGGGATAGTCTACAAAACAATTAACCTGTCCTCTCCAAAGGCCCAGACCATTTGTGGTGGTTATATTTGCGTGTTAGCTTGGCTGGGCCTGACTGGTGGCTGGGCAGCTGAATGGAGTTGTTCTGCATGGTGAGATTAGTAATTAACTCCATGGTGGAATCTATAGGAGCAGCTGAGTAGCTGCTTTAGGGATGTGTTCTGCTTCCTGTATATAAGAAACAGCTTTGGGAATGGTCTCCAGCTAATGGCATGCTTGGACCCTGTATGTAGCCGTGTCATTGTTCAGCAGCCTGCCATGCTCTGCCGACCTTGGGACTTACAATGGACTTGAATTAATGGCCTGCCATGTGGTTTGGTAACATCGAGACTGTGTCATTTCATTTGTTGACCTTGGGCTTGTTAGCCTCAGCAGCCAGTAACTGCCTGAATGAAGAGATGCCTCTAGCTTCAGTGGGCCGGGAGCAAGTGGCAGAGCTGAAGCCCAAAGTTGAGGGGCTTTTACTCAGCCCCTTCAGCCTGGCACCTTGAACTCAGACTTCTGGCCTCCTGAACTGGAAGAGAATAAACTCCTTTTTGTTCAAGCCATGCCATCTGTGGTATATTCTTGTCAGAGTGGCACTAGGAATCAGAACACCATGAGAATCAAGGGAAGACTGAGGACAGTTCCAGACTGAAAGAGGCTCAAGACACAGGACAACTCAATGCTATGGGTGTTCCTGAAGCTAATCCTTTTACTACAAAGGACATTATTAGGACAATTGGTGACGTTTGAATGGGATCCAATTTTTAGATGGTAATAATGTGTCAAGATCATGACTTGCTTGGAAACCCAAAGAGGGGTTGCTATGAGGTCTTTTAGGAGCTCTGGTAGCTTAGTGCCTAAGGCACTTGACTGCTAACCAGAAGGCAGTTCAAACCCACCAGCCACTCCTCAGAAGGAAGATGGGGCAATCTACTTCCGTAGTGATACTGCCTTGGTAACCCAAGGAGGGGTCGCTATGAGTCAAGTCCGACTTGATGGCACATAACAACAACAACGTGTCGGTATGAGTTTCCTGATTTGGATGGTTATGGCATGCTTAAGTAAAAGAATGCCCTTGTTTGGAAGAAATACATGCTAAAATATTCATGGTAGTGGCATTGTGTCAGCAATTTATATACACATAGTTCAGGAAAAACAAGTTTTTCTTGTTTTTTTACTTGTAATTTGTCTGCATGTTTGAAACGATAGAAAAGAAAAAGAAATAAGTATTTTATGTGACTTAGTATTTCCTTTTCTTTTTTAAAATTCTGACTGTGATTTGGGTGAAAGTTTACAGAGCAAATTCATTTTCCATACAGCAGTTCATACACATTTTGTTTCATGACATTGACTGCAATTCTGTACAATGTAATAGCTCTCTTCCCACTTCCTCTCCATAGTATGTCCTTCTTTCCTATTTAGTATTTCTTTTGAATTTGAGTTATTTCCCACACCTAGAGATTTTATCTACACATCTGGATTTCTGAGTTTCTTGAGAAAGCTGAAAAGTTGGCAAAGCTACATGATGACTGGCCAAGTGAAGAGCCACATTGCTCTTTAGGTGGTGGCCGGTGTGGCCTCCAGTTTTCAAAGTGCCTTCCATTCCTTGTTGTACAACATCCAGCTCACAGCATTCAGTTACGGCACTAGCCCAGATCCTGGTACCAGCCAAATCCTGGTTATATGCTACAGGAAGGCAAGAAGTTGTCCCAGAGCAGGCACAGAAGCATTTGTTGGATGGATGGATGGATGGATCTATCAATGGGTGGATGAACAAACTTTCAAACTTCATTGACCAAGAGCAATGACCTATCCCAGCATGCCAAGGAGACTCTTGTAGACTCTTGTTTCAGCCATAGTCTCTGGGTGGTTCAGCTGGGATGGAGCAAGTTGAGAAATCAGGGTGTTGTCTGATGCCAGAGGTCCCCATGTGGGCTGTAATCTTTCCTGGAGTTGATGGAGGAGTCTGAGTTAATGGAGGTATGTGGGGTTCTGGTACTGGGCTGGGTTGTTGGACAGGCAGGTGAGGCTTTGAGGAGATGGTATCTTAAGATGCCTGAGGCAATGAGGTTGGGCAGGGTGGGAACAGGACATACCTGATGGCTTGGGCTTCTACATCTGACTTGATGGGGCATGCCAGGGTCTGATTACGAGTAAGAGATGATGATGGATTGGTCCCCCAGCCCCTCTCACTTCCTGATTCTGCCTGGATCCTTAGTTTGGAACAATCTCTTCTCTCATCTGCCCCCTGAAAGGTTAAATTGAAAACATTGGGTAAAGTTTGACAGATATTTTTCTACATTTCTCATTGACCTTAGAATAAAAACCAAACTCCTTACCACCACCTACCTGATCCAACATTTTCTAGCCCCGTCACCTTCCTGAGCTGAAGTCCTGACACTCCACTCATCTCCTCCCCCTCATTGGCTCCACTCTCATCCCCTCTCCTGGTTCCTGACATGCCCCAAGCTCTTTGCCACCTGAAGGCCTTTGCATCTTAGTATAGAGTAGTAAGGTACTGTGTCAGCAAATCACACTCACATTTCCAATGTCACCGAGTAGAAACTCACGGTGACTCCAGGTGTTAGAGAGTAGAACTGAGCTTCATAGGGTTTTTTTTTTTCCCCCCTGTAATCTTTATGGAGGGAGCTCTGGTAGCATAGTGGCTAAAGCACTTGACTGCTAACCAGAAGGCTGGCGGTTCAAACCCACCAGCCACTCCTCGGAAGGAAGGTTGGGCAATCCTACTTCCATAGTGATACTGCCTCGGAAACCCAAGGAGGGGTCGCTATGAGTCGGGGCCTACTGGACGGCACATAACAACAACAACAACAACAATACCTAATGATCTTGAGCGTTTCTTCATGTTTGTTGGCCGTCTGAATATCCTTTTTGGTAAAGTGTCTATTCATGTCTTCTGCCCATTTTTTAATTGGATTATTTGTCTTTGTTGTTAAGGTACTGGAGTTTTCTATAAATTCTAGAGATAAAGCCCTTGTCAGATGTATCATTGCCAAATATATTTTGCCATCAAGTGGATTTGGGCTCATAATGGCCCTTACTGGGCTTCTAAGGATGTAAATCTTTACAGAAACAGACTGCCTTATCTTTCATCTGTGAGCGGCTCATGGATTCCAACCATAGTCCTTTTAATTAACAGCTCAATGCCTTAACCACTACACCACCAGAGCTCTTTAGGGGTGAGGTTAAGTCTTGAGTTATTAAATTAAGTGCCCAGGCAGGTAGAAATTGAGGTGGACTATAAACTGGGCTGGGTCCAACATGTAACATCACACTGTTAAGGTCGGACTGGACCCCAATCCGACTGGGTAGTGGCTAAGTTCGTTTGTGTGTGAATTGAGCAGTATCCAACAGGTCACTTGGGGCAGCAGCCTGAGAGGCACAGGATAGCTTGGGCGGTAACCTGGGTTGGTGGGTATATCGTGAGCTGTGATTTGGGCAGCTTCCCGCCACCAGTAGGAGAAAACTCTGACCGAGCTGGCCCGCCTGATACGGGAGTGGGGTGCGGACCCAAGCCGGGGGCGGCAGATAGCACATCTGGGGACTATTCACCTAGGAGTGGCTCCCTGGGCGGATCGGTGCAAGAGTCCGCGCGCTTCCGCGCCCAGCTGGCTGGTCAAGTCCTCGAACCAATAGCGGCGTAGAAAGCCGCGGCAGCGAGCGCGGATTGGGTAGGGTCGGGCAGGGGCGGGCGGTGCAGCGGGCCGCTTAGGCGCTCGGCCGGAGGGCGGCGCTGAGCGCTCGGCTACGCGGGCGCGGCGCTGGCGGAAGTGGAGACGCTGGCGTCCCCGGAGCCTGCGGCGGGCGGCGCTGACGGCCCCGGCGCTGACGGCCCGGGCGCTGACGGCGGCGGGCCGGGGGGGGGTGTGGACGCCCGCGCCGCTGGCTGGGGCATCACCGCGGGCCTCGACCCAGAAATGGCGCTGCTAGCCGAGCACCTCCTGAAGCCGCTGCCCGCGGACAAGCAGATCGAGACGGGGCCCTTCCTCGAGGCCGTGTCCCACCTGCCGCCCTTCTTCGGTGAGCCGAGCCGGGTGAAGAGGGTGGCTGGCCTGAGCCTTGCCTCAGGGCGTCCTGGGTCCTATTGCCCCACAGTGCTGCCCCTGAATCCTCCTCCTCCTGGGCACCCCCAAATCCTCCTTTCTGTAGACACCCCGAATCCTATTTCCCTAAACCAAAAAACCAAACTCACTGCCATCGTGTCGGTTCCTACTCATAGCGACCCCCGTTGGGTTTCCGAGGCTGTAAATCTTTACCGAAGTAGATGACCCCATCTTCCTTCCTTGGAGCAGCTGGTGGGTTTGAACTGCCGACCTCTGGTTAGCAGTCAAATGTCTTATCCACTATGCCACCTATTTCCCTAAGCACCTTAAAACCTCCTCTTCTCCAAGCACCCCAAAGTCTCCCTTCTTGGGCCACCCCCAAACCCTCTCTCTTTAGGATATATATTCTCCATCTCTTTCTCAGCCCAGTCCGCCATCTTCCCTGCACCCCAAAATCCTCCACTTCTCCAAACACTTCACATTCCTTCATATTTCATATTTCTCAGGTGCCTCCCACTACTTCCAGATGCTTCCCAATCCGCCACTCCTGCGTTCTTCCCCAGTCTTTTATCTCCTCCCAACTCTCCTGGGTAGAACCTTGGGAACCCTTCCTAGAATCTCTCCATTCCGGGGTCAGAGACTCCCCTACCAGCAACAGGCAGTCTAGATGAGGTAGGACCGGTTGAAGAGGGAGTTACAAAACTTCAGACCTTTTTGTAGGAGAGGTCACCTGAAGTTTTTCCTCCTTTTAGGATAGGGTCAGGGCCCCAGAGCTGCTTTGTGGGGTGATATCAGACTCAGGGTGCTGAATCCCACCTGTAGTTTCAACACTCCCCCGCCCCCATTATGTCATGTTGAGGAAGGCTCAGGAGCCCTAAGAAGGGAACCACTCAGCCATTTCAGACCCTCTGTCCTCCCCTCCCTTGCCCGGCCTGGGCCCTGAATGGAAAATGGGAAACTGAAGACCGTCACCTTCCCCTGCCCTTTGCCTTGCGGGTCCTGGGTAAAGGGTGCAACCTGAGCCTTTGCTTCTTTCTCTTCCATGTGGGCTTACCCAGTGCCCCGCCCTGCTGTTTGTTTGGTGGCCCTACAGGAAGACACCAGTCCCCAGGGCAGAGTCCAGCTGAAACCCACAAACTAGCAGAACCTTAATACTGACATAGGAGGGATTTGGCCCCAGGGTCTGTTGTAGATCAGGGCTTGTTGTGGACAGGGCTTACCTCAGAGCTGTGAGTTCTGCGTGGAGTGGTCCAGCTTCTCTCCTCCACTTTTGGAGCCTCGGTGTTTCCATCTGTGAAATGGGGATACTGGCTTCCTAGGCTAGCCACGAGGGATAGCCAAGATGGTGTTCCCGAAGCACTGGTCTGGGGTGTGGTTCTTCCTTCAGTTCCTGATCCAGTGTTGGCTCTCTCCCATAGGAGATGATTATTTAGTGTTTGAGGGAGTGACGTTTTCTGGTTTGTGTGAATCTCAGACCTGGGTGAGCAACCTGAGGGCAGTGTTTTGGTCTCATCTCCACTTCTAGGTCCCCAGTGCCCAGTGCAGTGCCTGCCCCATAGCAGGTGTTCAGTCAGTACTTGTTGAATGAACAAAACTTTCTTGTTGTCCATCAGCTGTGCACTTTTGAGATAATACTGAATTTCTAAGCTGGGCCTTGGGAGCTAGATGGCTTTAGCATGGAGGAGCTGTCTGTTTTGGCAGTAGAGTTGTGGGTTCTTGTTTTTCTGTTATTCTCTGAAGACTTGCAGGTTGGAGCCTACTTAGCCTGGAGTAGGATCCAGAATCTTCTTAAGCCAGTGGTTCTTGACTGGGAATGACTGCCCCCCAGGGGACATTTGGCAATGCTTGGAGACATTTTGGTTGTCATAGCTGAGAGGGGGCTGCTCCTGGCCTCTAGAAAGCACTCAGTGTCCTACAATGCACAGGACAGCCCCCACCACAAAGAGTTATTTGGCCTCAGTAGGCAGCAGCATCAAGGTGGAGACACTCTGGGCCAGGCCTGTGGGGTTTTGCTCCCTGATCATCTGTGAAAGAGCAGACAGCTTTGTATTTTGGGACACCTTGGTGGACGTGGTTATCTGGCTGATTTTTGAGGGAGGGGGAGGCGGCAGTTAGAACTAGCAGAGATCTGGTGCCAGGGCTGTGATATGTCTCCTCCCCCTTTCCGTGGCCTCAAAGGGTCCTTGTCTCCACTGTCGTCCCTGTGCTGTGGGCTGTCACATCTGCTGACAGAAGGGCCATTTATTCATAGTCCACAGTGGGGTCAGCCCACAAAGGGTTAACTAGCACCGTTCTGCCCTTCTGAACCTAGGAGTGTTCATCATCAAAGAGGATAATTAGCACTCTGAAGAAAGTGACAATCCATTTGCAGCCAAGCTTCTGGGGGATAGGTCCTCTGAGGGTTTAACCAAACCAAAACCAAACTCACTGCCATCAAGTTGGATCTGACTCATAGCGACCCCCCCCTTGGGTTTCCGAGGCAGTATCACTACGGAAGTAGATTGCCCAATCTGCCTTCTGAGGAGTGGCTGCTGGGTTTGAACCTCCAGCCTTCTGGTGAGCAGTCATGTGCTTTAGGCACTGCACACCATTAAGACTCAGGTTTTACAGCGATTTGCCCACCAGTGGCTTTTCTTGAGGACTTTGATTGCCTGTTGGCTGTGACCAGGGGCTTGGCCCAGAGCTGGGGTCACCTGGCTGCTCCAGGCAGGGCATGGCTCTTTGGAAAGGAGCTGCCCAGAGGTAGTGGGCACACAGAGTTTTCCCCAGGTCAGGAGTCCTCACCCCCGGCACTGTTGACATCATGGACAGAATAGTTCTTAGCATTGGAAGGGCTGTTCCTTGTATCATCGGATGTCGTGCAGCAACCCTGGACTCTGCCACCGGATGCCAGTAGCACCCCCCTGTTCTCGTTGTGACAGACATGTTTGCAAACCAAAACCATTGCTGTGGAGTTGATTCCCACTCATAGTGACCCCCTGTGTTACAAAGTAAAACTGCCTCAGAGCGTTTTCTTGGCTATAATCTTTATGGGAGCAGATTGCCAGGTGTTTCTTCTGCAGCATTGCTGGGTAAGTTCAGACCACCAGCCTTTTCAGGTCAGTAGTCAGTGCAAACCATTTGCACCACCCAGGGATCCAAAAAACCCAGCCCAACCCACTGCCATCGACTTGCTGGTTCTTTCTGCTTTAGCAAGGTGGGGGCTGTAGACCAGCCTCCTGTTTGCTGGGTTTAGAGGCATCCACATCCTGGACTAGACCTTCCTCCGTATCTCCAGCCTCAGTCTCTTGGGTTGGACGGGTTCCACTGTTTGCTTAGAGGTCAGCCTTTGTCTTTTTTCTCTACCTGGATCCAGTAATCAGATCTCATGTCTGACTGATTGGTTTGCAAGACTGCTGTGAGGCCTGCTCTCTAATTCTTTAGGTCAGCTATGCAGTCTATAACCTTTAACAATTGCAGGGAAGGAGCTTAGATGCCATTCAGTCTTGTCACTCCTGCCTAGAAGCCTCAGTGGCTCCCTATTACCCCACCTTGAAATCGGTACTCCACCTTTCTGACTGGTGTGCAGCCCCAACTGGTCCCATGTCATCACTTGCCTCCAGAGCTTTAGCCCATTGTCGCCTCTGCCTGGTACACCACTCCTGTCCCCACCACCCACCTTCCTTTTGCCTTACTGAGTTCCACTTATCCTTAAGGAACTGGCTTAGCAGTCACTTCATCCAGAAAGTCTTTCCTGACCCTCAAGCCTCCCATGGAACTTACCATATCCTACTGTAATTTTGGGAGCTCTGGTGGCATTGTGCCTAAGGCATTTGACTGCTAACCAGAAGGTTGGCCGTTCAAATCCACTAGCCACTCCGTGGAAGGAAGCCTGGGCAATCTACTTCCATACTTAACCACCTCGGAAACCCAGAGGGGGTCACTATAGGCCAGAGTCGACTCAATGGCAGGGAGAGTTTATTGTAAGTTTCTGTGACTTTGAGTTACTTAGGTGCCAAGCATTTAGTGGGGCCTCAGATATTTGTTGAACAAATACTTTTGGTTCTGTTCCCATTCTTTCTGAAAGTGCTTTTCCTTTTTCTCTCTTTCCAAGTTAAAATGAAAATACATAGCACCTCTAGCATAGACGGTACCCATGGTAGACATTAGTAATTGAACACAGCACTATTTCCCCATTGGAGCCTGGATACAACCACTGTGGGTCAGATAGAGTCGGCACATGAGACGGCAGCCATTTTTCTCCCTGTTTAGGGAAACACCAAAGAGGAAGGACCTGGAGGATACGATTTGCATTATGGGAATGATATAGTCCTCATTCGTTTAGCTTAATTAAATGGGTGTCCTTGATGTTGGGCTTACAATATCCGGCACTTGTTAAAAAGTCCTAGAGTGAGCCCAGGAAGATGCTTTCCATGGCCTTTGGTTCAGGGCTTACCCGCCCGTTTTGAGTGGCAGCCTAGAAGCACAGATTATCTTCTTGTTTTATAGCCAAAGAAACTGAGGCCAGACAGGTTAGGTGACTTGCTCGAGGTCCCATAGCAAATGAGTGACTGGCCAAGTCGCACTAGAACTCAGGCCTCTGGACTCCTTGTGCCTGTCCTCTTGCCCTCCTCCTGTAGAGAAGACCCTGGGTGGAGCCGGCCTGCTTGGTACCAAGGGGGGGCCAGTGGATCTGCTGGTCTGTCTAAGATGCTTGTCTCAGACTCAGACCTGGGCCACAGACCAGATAAACAGGTTTCCTCTGAGGTACCTGGCTCCTAGTCTGCTCCCTGGAATGCCTGCTTATTTTAATGCAAATTACAGCGCGTAGGGTGTGGAAGACATCCAGATGGGGACACCCAAAGCAGATCAGCTCCTTTAATTGAGACATTGTTGGGCTAAGTGCTTGGGTGCCAGCCCCACCCTAGGTGCCTAGGCAGGATGGTGGGTGACCTGAAGTACCCCTTTCCTGTGTGTAAGGAGCACCCTGTCCTAAAG